AAAATAAGCCCCACTCTTAGCACGTCTCTCTCCCCCTCCTTCTCGACCCGTCTGATCAGCTCATCCATGATCCACCCCCTCGGCGTAAAATTAGGGTTGACCGCCTTCATCGCCCTGATCCTCTCCTCATCCTTCCCCTCACCCCAGTCCTCCACCACCCTCTCCTTCCAAAACGCAAGCCAATCAGCAACCTTTTCAAGGTCGTCGCTGCTCGTCTCACTCAACCCGTCCCGATAAAAAAACACCTTTGCCTGCTCCGTCCTCCCCTCCTCACTCTCCAGATCAGCCACCTTGACACTCGACAACCTCCTAAAAAACAAATTAAAATCCAGCTCCGACGCCTCCATAGCATCAAGCAGCGGACTGAACAACCCATCAAAATCATCCTCCTTCACCCCCTTCAACCCCAACCTCTCACTCATCAGCCTCTTGTACTCGCCCAAAAACACCTGCTTATACTCCTCCCCCGCCTGCTCGATAACCTTCTCCGCCCTCCCCACCATCTCCTTCTCCATCTCCTCCCCCACCACGCCCTTTTCAACATATTCCTCATCATCAACCCTCTCCCCAATCCCCATCATCTCCCCCAACGCCTCCCCCAACCTCACCAAGTTCCACCATATAATCGTCGGCTGGTTCCTGTAGCTGTACCGCAACATGTGATCATCATGATTAGGCGTATAACTCGGGTCAAAAACATCCATAAACGCATACGGTCCGAAATCCATCGACAACCCAAAGATACTCGTGTTGTCAGTGTTCAAAACCCCGTTCATAAACCCGTACGCCTGCCACCTGGCCACAGTAGCTGCATTGCGACGGACAATGGCGCGGTAGAGGCGGGAATACCGGTTTTGCTCCTCCCCTTTTGGTCCCTCCACTGTTTCCTTTTTCACGCCGGTCTTCGGCTCGGTTTGTCCCTCTTCTAACCTGGCGGGGAGGTTCTCCCAGCCAGAGTAAACATGCTGAGCGACAACATCAGCCAAAACCCTCATATTGCCCCTCTCCCCCCTCGCCCTCAACAAATCAAAATTCCCTAGCCTGATCCACGTCTCTGCAAACCTGACCACGATCGCCCCTGGCTCCATCCTTTCCCGTCTAACCCTCTCCTCCGGCAAGAGCGTCAAAGCCAGAGCGCGGGTGGTCGGAATGCCGAGGCCGTGGAGAGCCTCAGAGACGATGAACTCCCTTATACTACTCCTCAGCACCGCCTTTCCGTCGGCAAAGCGGGAGTAGGGCGTCATGCCCGCGCCTTTCAGCTGGACTTCGTATCTCTTTCCCGTCTGCTCGCTTGTTGTCTCAAACAAGCTGATAACCCGTCCATCACCCAACTGCCCGGCCCAGCTACCAAACTGGAAACCACCATAGTTTTGCGACCAGGGGTAGTTCCGATTCGATTCGTCCGTCTCGTCAAAATCCCAGAGCTTGTTACCGACTACCGTCTCGGCGAATTCAGGCGTGGTGGCCTCGGAAAGGGAGAGGTTTAGGGTTTTGAAGGCGGCGGGGGATATGGCGAGGAGTTGGTAGCTCGATTGGTGTTCTGGACGGACGTAGGTGAAGAGGCCGTTGCGGACCTGGCGGGGGGTGATTTCATCGCGGGGGGTGTTGTGAGACGAAAGGGGGGTGGGTTTTAAGGGGTTTGGGGGGTGGAGGGAAGGGAGGGTCCAGGATTTGGGGAGGGATTTGAGGGGGAGACCCCCCGGTTGGGAGGAGGAGCCCATGTTTGAGGGGAGGACTGAGAAGTTGCGGGAGATCAAGAAGGGGAGCTGGTTGAAGGTGGGATAGCGGAGGTGGGATGCGAGGGCTAGACAGCGGGATGCTGGTGCTGGGAAGCGCATAGGCGCGGCGCTGGTGAAATGGTTGAGGTTGGGGTTTACAAGGTTTGAGGACTGTTTGTTTGAAGCAGAGCTGTGAGGGTGATGGCGAAAAAAAGAAAGCAAAAAAAAAGGGGAGGGTTGTATAAGGCTGTGAAAGAAATGGCTTATCAATCAGCGATGGTTTGACATCGCGGGGCTGTCGCAGTGAGTGGCGGCTGTCAACGGCAAGTCGTTGAACGTCATGGAGGGTGGTACAGGGGTCTGTCTTGGCATAAGCACCCAATGCGAACCCGTGGAGAAACATATGTATGAATCATGGACTTTTGCAGAGTTCTGTCTTGAGGTGGCAATCTGATGAATTCTTTGATATGGGATTATGGGATTATCAGATCAAACCAACCCCAGACCCTATGACGCCATAGCCGATGGGATGACGCCCCGCATCTACTCCCGTGCCCCCCTCCCGCCGCTGCGGGGTGCCCCGCTCCCGCCTTGCCGGGACCGAGGCCGGGATGGCACGCTGGTGCCGTTCTCTTGCAGCCATTTATTCGATTGGGAATTCGAATTCGACATTTAAGCCACATTCACGACATCGGAGTTAACCTGGTACTACCTACAGTGAGCGCTTATAAAACCCTCATCATCACCACCGAGACCACCCTCACAAACTCACATATACCTCATAGCGTCCTACACCAAAATGAACTCCATCGAAGCCTCCCACGCCCCCGACGCCTCAGGCGCAACCCCCAAACAGCTCGACCACATCCCCAACCTCAGGCTCAGCGACGGCAATGAAATCCCCTTTGTGAGCCCCCCTTCCTCCCATCATCTCACCTTCCCTCCCCTAACCATCTGTATAAAAGCTCGGCTACGGCCTCGGCACCGCAAACTTCAAACGCGGCGACAAGTCCAAGTTCAACGAAGATGTCGTCGCCGCCACCGTCACCGCCCTCAAGGCAGGGTACACCCACCTCGACGGCGCAGAAGCCTACGGCAACGAAAAAGAACTCGGCACCGCCATCCAAACCTCCGGCATCCCCCGCTCAACCCTCTTCATCACGACCAAAACCTCGTGCCGCCAAGGCGAAACAATCCAACAAGCCTTTGACCGCTCCCTCTCCAACCTTTCCCTCGATTACGTAGACCTCTACCTGATCCACTCCCCTTTCTTCGGCTCCCCTCTCTCCTCCCCTGAAGCCCTCCAGTCGGCTTGGGCAGAAATGGAAGCGATCAAAGACTCGGGCCGCGCCAAATCAATCGGCGTCTCCAACTTCCTCCCTCACCACCTGGAATCAATCCTCTCAACAGCCAAGCACCCCCCAGTGATCAACCAGGTCGAATACCACCCCTACCTCCAGCACGAAGACGATTTTGTCGATTTCCACAGGAGGCATAATATCGCCTTGGCGGCGTACGCCCCGCTGACGCCGATCACTAAAGCCCCGGGCGGCCCGGTGGATCAAGTCTATGAACGACTGGCAAACAAATACGGAGTGGGGGAGGGGGAGGTAGGGCTGAGGTGGGTGTTGGATCAGGGGATTGTCGCGTTGACAACGAGCAAAAGGGAGGAGAGACTGAAGGGGTGGTTGAGTAAGCTGCCGAAATTCAAACTCACTCCCAGAGAGGTGAAAGAGATAAGCGAGGCGGGGAAAGGGAGGCACTACAGGGGTTTTTGGAATAATAGGTTTGAGGAGGGCGATAGGCGGTAGGGGGTGGTTGGGGAAAGAAACTGTGTACAAAAGACCATGTTCGTGAAAGAATCAATGGAAAAGAGATTGGAGTCTCAGCCAAAGAACTACATGCAGACTTGCCTGATCA